GGAGGGGAGGAGGGGCCCGGACGTGCCCCATGGAGGGAATTGGGGTGTCAGGGGTTGGTCCGTGAGGCAGAACTTCCCCCCTGTGACATGGAGGGGCCCAGGTGTTCAGGTCCCCTATGTGCCACCCCTACCCCCACTTCCATGGGGCCAAAGCCCCTCATTACCCCATCACTGTGCCACCTGTGGGGCTGGGGTGCCCTGTCACCTGTAAGATGGTGTAACTGGGGCTCCCCTGTCCCCAGGTGACCCCCTCACCTCCGTCACCTGTAGGACAGTGTCATCTGTGTCACCTCCAGTAATCTGCACCCTCGGGTGGCCACACCACCTCCCAGCACCTCAGGGGGACCACAAAATTGGGGGGGTTGTTGGAGGGAAGGGGCAGAGTTTTAGGGGAGATTAGAGCCTTGGAAAGCCCTGGGGAGGGGTTGGGATGTGGTACCTGACCAGTGACTCCCGGTTAGAACCAGTAACAGGAACTGGCAGGAGGTGCCATAGTGGGTAGGGGAATTCAGAGTGCCCCCAGTGCAGACTGAGGCACCTGAGACCATCTCTAGTGCCCCCCAGTATAACCAGACTGCCTCCCAGTGTGCCCAGAATGCCACCCCGTATTCCCAGACTGCCTTCCATTGTGCCCTGAGTGTCTCCCAGCGTGCCCGGAGGGCCCCCTTGTATTCCCAGACTGCCTCCCCGTGTGCCCGGAGTGCCCCCAGGGTGGCGGAATGTCCCCCAGTGTGCCCAGAGTGCCTCCAGTGTACCCACAGCGCCCCCCAGTGTCCCAAATGCCTTCCCAGTATGTCCCAGCGCCTCCCCAGCACTCACTACCTGGAATAGGACTGGGCAAGCAACGCAACGGCGGCTGAGCAGCGGCGGGTCCGGGTCCGGATCCGGGTCCGGGTCCGAATGCGGGGCTGGCTCCGGGGGGTCCAGGGTGGTCCCGGCCCCTCCCGCCCGGCCGGCTCCCCTCAGGACCCACAAGATGGCGGAATCTCGCGAGACTGAGAGGTGGGGGCACGCCCCAAATCCCGCCCACGGCCCTACTGACCAATCCCCGCGATTTTTCTTCCGCTAAACACGCCTCCACCGATGAGAGCCAGGGGCGGGCAGCGGGAACCCGGCGCTCCTTCCAGATAACTCCGCCAAACACGCCACGCCCCTCCCTCCAAAGTTCAGCGCCCCCTGAGGACAGGCTAGCCCCCCGGCGGCAGCGCACTGAGGACACTCACTCGCCCCGCGCAGGAGCAGTGGCGCCGCGCCCCCCCGAGTCACCATTGGGCGCCGCCGGTCCCCGGGACCCCGCGACGCGCCGCCCGGTCTCTGCGCGCGCCCGCCCCGCGCCCCTCGCGACCCACCCGGGACACCCCCGGGTCCGTGCCCTCCCCCGGTTCCCCCACCCCGGGACGGGGCCTCGCCCGCCATGGGCGGCGGCGCCGGCGGCCCGAGCAGGCCCAAGACCTCCCCGAAGTCCCCATGCAAAGTTCTCTCGGGCGCTGGCCGGGTGAAGAGACCCCGCCCCCAAACGTAGATTTCCCCCCCCCAAAACCGAATGCCCCCCCAGCCTCCCCGCAAAAACCGAGAACCCCGCCAAAACCGGGACACCCCCTCAAAGCAGAGACAACCCTCCCCCGAAGACAAGACCCCCCAAACCCCTTTAGCCCCCCGCAGCACTCCCGTTGCCCCTTCAGCTCGACCCCCTGAGCCTCCCTCAGCCTCCCAAAACCCTTTAACTCTCCCCCTCCGAAAATTCCCACCATTGCCCTCCACAGCACCCCCTAAAATCCCTTCAGATCCCCTAAATCCCTTCCAGCTCTCCCAAATCCCTTCTGACTCCCCCAAATGCCCCCCAAGCCCCCTCCAGACCTCCTAAATCCCTTCTGAGTTCCCCAAATCCTCCCCAAGTTCCCTGCAGCCCCACTAACCTCCTCCCAGCGTCCCCCCAAATCAATTCTAACCCACTGAGCCCCTTCAGGCCTCCTGAAACCCCCTCCAGCTCCTTCCAACCCCCTCACCAGTGTCCCCTCCCAGCCCCCCAAAACTCCTTCAGAACCTCCAACCCCCCTCAGCCCAGGAATCCCCTGAGAGGGCTGTGGGTGGATCTGGGGGCCTGTGGGAGAAGTGTGAGTATTTTTGGAGTCCCCCTGACCCTCCTTGACCCCCCCTCTCCAGGATGGGGGCCACTGTCTTCGTGCAGCCCCTGGACCTGGTGAAGAACCGGATGCAGCTGAGTGGGGCCGGGGCAAAGGGGCGTGAGTACCGCACGTCCCTGCACGCCCTGGGCTCCATCCTGCGCCACGAGGGGCTGCGGGGTGTCTACACAGGGTATGGGCCCCCCAGAACCCCCTGAGCTCCCCTAACACCCCCTGAACCTCCCCAAAACTTGCCTGCAAGCCTTGGGCTCTTCCCTGCCCCCCATTTCCGGGCTCCTCCATTCTGGGGGTGCCCTATTTTCGGGGTGTGCTCCCCCAGGCTGTCAGCAGGGCTCCTGCGCCAGGCCACCTACACCACCACCCGCCTGGGGATCTACAGCGTCCTGCTCGAGCGTTTCGGGGGCCCCGATGGGACCCCCCCTCCGTTCCTGGCCAAGGCCGCCATGGGGATGACAGCTGGGGCTGCGGGGGCCTTCGTGGGGACCCCTGCCGAGGTCGCTCTGATCCGCATGACAGCTGATGGCAGGTGAGGCTCCTCCCCCAAAATTTTCCCCTGGGCCTCCAAATTCAACTTTTTTACCAAAATCCCCTTTTTTCACCCCAAATCACAGGCTGCCCCCTGGCGAGCGCCGTGGGTATCGCAACGTGTTTGATGCCCTCGTGAGGATGGCGAGGGAGGAGGGGGTTCTCACACTGTGGAGGGTATGGAGGGGGCTGGGGGACCCCAAAATCCGTCCCCCCCTCCCTAAAGCTCCCCTAGTCCTCTCCATGATCCCAAATGCTCTGAGACCTCCCCCCATCATCCTGGGACCCTCCCCCGGGGGTGCACAGAGGGGGGGATGTTCTCATGGTTTGGAGGGGTTTGGGAGTGCAGGGGGTCCCCCGAAACCCCGTTGTCTCCCCCTGGGGCTGTGACCTCACTGTGGTAAGGGAGGAAGGCATGCAGGTGGGATGTCTGAAGGTGCAGGGGGAGATGGGGGGKGGCCTGGGGGTACAGGGGGCTTCCCCAACCCCCTCCATCTCTCCCCAGGGCTGTATCCCCACCATGGCCCGCGCCGTGGTCGTCAATGCTGCCCAACTTGCCTCCTACTCCCAATCCAAGCAATTCCTGCTCGACTCCGGTGAGTTTGGGGCTCTGCCCTGGGGGTCCCCCCAAATCCGGGCACACCCTCCCCTGTCCCCCTTTGATGTTTTGGGATCCTCCCAGGGCATTTCCGTGACGACATCCTGTGCCACTTCTGCGCCAGCATGATCAGCGGGCTGGTGACCACGGCCGCCTCCATGCCCGTCGACATCGTCAAGACCCGGTGGGTTCATTTGGGGGGTCCCCCACCCTCCCCTGTCAATTAATTATGGATTTGGGGGTCATCCCAAAACCTCTCCTATTTCACCCGAAAAATTCTGACAGGATCCAGAACATGCGGACTATCGATGGGAAACCCGAGTACCGCAACGGGCTGGTGAGCAAGCAGGGCTTTGGGAGGGCCTCAGCGTTTGGGGGCGGCCCCCAGCATTTTGGGGGGATCTCTGTCATTTTGACATGGTTTCCCTGTCATTTTTGCAGGGGGTCTTTTTCAACTGGGGGGGGGGGTTCCCCACTGTTTTGAGGGCATTGCCTGTCATTGATGGGGCAGTTCAGGTCCTTTTTGAGGAGGTCCCCATCATTTTGGGGAGTTCCCTTGCCATTTTGAGGGGAGTCTCCATCATTTTGGGAAGGTTTCCCATCACCTGGGAGATGAGGGGTTCATTTTTAGAGGGCTTCTCGTAATTTTGGGGGTGGGGTTCCCTCCCTGCAGGACGTGCTGGTGAAGGTGGTGCGGTACGAGGGGTTCTTCAGCCTCTGGAAGGGCTTCACCCCCTACTACGCCCGCCTGGGCCCCCACACCGTGCTCACCTTCATCTTCCTGGAGCAGATGAACAAGTGGTACCAGCGGCTCTTCCTCAGTGCCTGACCCCCACTCTGGGGGGGAGGTCAGGGGGATCTGATCCCATTCTGGGGGCTCTATAGGGGCATCTGACCCCTCCCCAGAGGAGTCTGGGGGAGGGTCT